ATTTCCAACATTTTTAGCAAGTGGCCACAAATAAGAGACCCGTTAACAATTTTTTTTTTTAAATATATAAAAATAGGTTCTGAATTTTTAAAAGTTTATTATTTTTCAAAAAAATAAAATGATTGGAAATAATGAGTGTTTCCATAAATGTTATTATTATTTATTTAAATATACAAATTAAGTGTTATTATTTATTTTCAAAAAAATAAAATGATTGGAAATAATGAGTGTTTCCATAAATGTTATTATTATTTATTTACAAGTCCTACTAGGATTGTGCCATACGAAACTTATAAAAGCTCACAAGCAACACCTTGGAGGAGGTAATTGAACACAATCTTTTTGAGAACTTAGAGCTTTGTCTATTTGTCAAGTTTTCTGACTTAGGCATCGGAGAGGTTTCCGGCACACACCCGCCGGCTAGCTCACGTTTGTGTTTTCAGGTGACAAAGCGACGTCGTACGGAGGAGCGTGGACTTGGTCAACAGGATTATACGAGGAGAATTATTTCCTCCCCGTACAATATAGATGATACAGATTTATCAACATATATATATTGATACAGATTTATATATATACAGATTTAATAATGTATATATTATCAATATATATATATAGATGATACAGATTTATCAACATATATATATTGATACATATTTATATATATACAGATTTAATAATGTATATATTATCAATATATATATATACATATATACGATACAGATCTGTATATATATAGAGAGAGAGAGAGAGAGAGAGCATACCTGTCGTCCTCGCCGCAGCAGCACCGCACCACCGCACCACCGTTCGCCGTTCGGCTTCGTAGGGATTTGGGGCAAAGAAATTGGTTTCAAACTTTTAGGGATTTGGATTACATTTTTGATCGAGCGGCAAGATGAATAGGGAAGGGGGCAAAAAAAATTTCACTTTTTGCGACGGTAGGTTTTACACCGTCGCAAATGGCAAGTATTTTATTCATAAAACGGCGCCGTTTAAATTAGACTTTTTTGCGACGGAAAATTGCTGTCGCAATAAGTAAACTATTTGCGACAGCAAACGTACGCCGTCTCAAAACATTTATTTTTTGCGACGGTAAAAACATCCGTCGCTAATACTGATGCATTTACTCCCTATCCGCGCATTTTTTATTACCGACGGGGATAACGCCGTCGCTAAAGCCTTCATTTGTGACGGTTTATGCTGCCGTCGCAAAAAATCATTTTTTGCGACGGGAAAACCGCCGTCGCTAATGCTTCTGTGTTTTTTACCCCCTTTTCTTGTAGTGTGGAAAAGTAACATAATGTGGATTTGTTGATTGAACTGGCCTTGTAATCTAGTGAGTTTGTTCATAAGTTCTGATCCAAGACTCTGGAAGTAACTTGATGAGTTTTGCCCTGGAGAGTTGGCGAGGAATTTGAACTGGAGAGGCCTGCTATGAAAAATCTATAATAAGCATCAAAGCATCTTCGCTTAGGTCTCGTTTGGAATAGATTAATTTAGTAATTTTTTGGTTATTTGACTAAAATATGAACTAAAAAAAATTAATATGTTTGGGATGACTTTTTAACTTTTTACGAAAAGATATGCAAAAAGTAGAGAGAAAAAAGAATCTTTGACTTTTTTATATGGATTGTTGACTTTTTGACTAATTTAATAACATTTTGACTTTTTAATTAAAAATAAAAATTTCCAAACGGGACCTCAGAATCTTATCAAAGGCTTAATTTTGGACTATACATGTAATTTGATAATGAAGAGTGACGGCTTATGTTGTAGAAACTTGGAATGCGCTACCGGTTTGAACTTGTATTTTGAGGGTAGAAAGGTACCAGTCAATCAAAGGCATATCAAAATTTGGGTAACACGGTAAGGTCCGTTTGTTTGGGGTTATAGAGATGGAATTGAGATTATTAATTTTTTGATATTATTAATGATGTGTTTGTTTTGAGAGATGTGGGGAGGATTATTAGTCCCTTGGTATTAGTAGTCCCTTTAAAAGGGGGATTGATAAGGAGGAGGTAGAGATGTATTAAAAAAATAGTGAGGGGATTAGAATTTTTTTTTATTTTTTATATATTGGGAATTTTTTTAAAATATAATATTAAATTTTTTATATTTTTTTATTTGTTTTATTATTTTATATAAAAATAATTTAACAATTTCTCACTATTAATCTCCTCACTATCAATCTCTTCACTAATAATCCTCTCACTATTAATTTTTTCATTATAAATCCTTTCTATTTTATCTCTTAAAACAAACGGGCCTAATATAATTGTGTCTGAGTTAAGAGTTATTTGAACGGTTGCGATACGAGTCCATTGCTACTTGTGGAATCTGTGAGTGATTGACTTTGTCTTTAGTTCAATATGTGGACTGGATCGGTCTAGTTTGGACTTGTAGGCCCAGTCACAGGCCTATTTCAATGATCTAATCAATTGTCCCATTTCAATGATCTGATTAGTTGATTTGTATGTCATAGTGTTTAGACTATACACAAAAGAATCTGATTGATTCAATAACAACAATTACATAATTTCATCACATTTATCTTTTAAAACAAACATTAAAAAAGTCAATAATTATAACTGCACAACTCTCAATCTTAATTTTTTCTTACAAATCAATTTTTATAATTGTTTAATATATATTTTTCTATAAAAAGTCAAAAGTTAATCCAAATATCTATATTTTTTTCTCAATTTTTTAGTCTAAAAAAATAAAAAGTGCACTTATTTAAGACACCTCAAATAACCCCTAAATCTCAACAATTAATTTTAAATTTTAGATAAATTGTGAATATTCTTTTTTCCTAAATTTATAGCAATCCTGAAATATTTTTGTATGGATTGAATAATAATAATAATAATAATAATAAAAGAAACAAGACGACAAATTACTAGTTTGGCCAAAATAAATAATATCTATGTAACTTAACGAAGTGAGCGATTGTGACAGGTAACATAGAATTATAGTGCATTAATGGGATTAGGTCTTGCATTGAAGACCTGTAACTTTCGGTGTCCTTTTAAACCTCCAATGCCATATATCATGTTGCTTTTGTGGGCCCTTTCTCGTAAAGAATATTATATTAGGAATTGTTTGTAATAATCTAAATAAGTATATTTTTTATCTTTTTATAAAAGGATGTGTAGAAAAATAGAGAGATGATGTGATAGAAAAAAAATAAAATAATAAAAAATGTGTACTTATTTAAGATAGCCAAATTTAATCTTATTATTCGTTTTCATATCCTAATTATTCCAATGAGAATATAGATATATATATATATATATATATTCAATAAAAGCAATATCCTCTTATTAAAAAGGAGCTTCGTCTTTTCTTTTGCTCAATTATTTTTGTCAAACTTAAGAAAATTATGGGTAAAATCTTTATAAAATAAAACTAAAAAAAAAAGAACCTTTATGAAAACTTTAAAATGGGTTCGGGTACTAGAGCGGTGGAGTTTAGTCAGGGTCATTCTTGAGATGAGGCGATCAAGGTGGTCGCTTTGGCCTTTAATTTTGAATAAAATTTAGGATTCTTAACCAGGGGTGTGTATCATGTATTATTTTATAATTATTTCAATATTAGCTCAATCTATTTATTTTCATGTTGTCGTATGGTATTATTTTGATTTGTATCCGATTGATGTTTAATGTGAAAACTTTCACTTTTAGTTAGAAATAACTTAGTAAGTGTGTGGAGAGATTAAAATTTTTCCCATAAGTTGAATTTTATAAAATTTATTTTTACTAAATGAAATTAGAATATTTGATTTCAATTCTATTGCATTTTTCTAATTAAAAAAATTGTACCTTATTACTATATATTTTTTACTAGATTGACTCTAAAATAGGTAACAAAAAAATACATATCTTAAATGAGAAAAAGACATTAGCCTTAATTATTATTTTACATACTTTTTTGGAATATTTACCGATAAATCTCATCCTACAAACAGTTTTACCAATTGGTTTCATTTTTATTCTATTGTTCTCATTAGTCCTCTCAGTGAGGAAATATATTCATTTTTGATCCTATTAATTTGATTTTATTCATTTAGTGGGACAATTATACCCTTCCTTTCACACAACCTTTCCTTTCACGTATTACCCATTTTGTAGGGATTAGTTGCACATATTTTGATATTTCGTATATTTCTATTGGTGGGACATTTGGGGTGTTACGTTAGGGTTTTGGGAGAGGCGTGGGAGGTTGTGTGTTTGTTTTCTTAGTGTGACACACGGACGGCTCTGCAGAAGTATGTCGTCGTTAATGCCGAGTTGCCAAGGTATGTTTGTGTGTTTCTGTTGTTGTGTGTTTGTGTGGTTGGTGATTTCTTGTTTTCTTTTGTAATGGTGATGTTGTTATAATGTAAAACACAAGTAACCACAACCAAGTTTCAGAAATATCCGTTGGGCAAAATGGAATTGTGGTCTTCAGTTTGGTGTCTGTATCTTGGTATGTGGTTTGGTCTGTGTCTGTTAATTATTTTGCTTTGTAATCAATGTGACGAACTGTTGTGTGTCACTGTATTTTTCTATCAATATGTTTCTCTGGTTACACTACTGTGGTTGGTGATTTCTTGTATTGTTTTGTAATGGCGATGTTATAATGTAAAACACGGGTAACCACAACTAAGTTTCCGACGCCACAATGTCACATTAAGCACATTCCAATTCCATGTGTATAACCGAATTCGCATTTTCAGTTATGTACCGTGTTCATACATTAAGGTCGGTATTGGTGGTAATCATAGATTTCTGGCATGACGTAGTCATTTTTTCACAGGTATGGACATGCATATTTTGTTGGTGTGTTATTGTCGCATCATGAATGCTGCGATGAAGTTGTATTTCCCGTATCGATTTGACGATCTTCTCAATTGTGTGTGCGGAAAATTTGATGGTTTAATAGATGTTAATGTGTCCATGTTTTTCAAGATGCCGGGATAAAATAACTTCACATTACAAAATGACAACGATATAGACAACATGGTTTGCCTTGCACGGTCTTTTCGATTAGACCACATTGATGTCATCATTCAATCTCGGATAATGCAAGATGCCGACGACATTGGTGACGCAACTCCAAACCCACGAGCCGATACGTGTAACTTGCCTGTGCTTGCAGATGAGTCAGACATTGATGATGACCAACAAGATTTGCCTCCCAAATTTTGTCCCCATGCTGATAAGGTTTTCCTGTCTGTCCAATGGGTTCATGGTATCACACTCGTCCGACAAAGTTTCGAGGGGGGAGCCAATGAATTTCGTTCTGTCCTTCGCAAATATGCGATTGAGTGTGGATTTCGCTTTAAATTTCTGAAGAATGACTCTGTACGGATCACAGCGGTTTGCATGATGAGGGAATCGAAAAACTGCATATGGTCTATACATGCACGAGTATTACGTGCTGATGAGTTTTTCTACATTCATAAGTGGAATAGGGAGCACAGTTGCGGTGTTGTCGTCCGGACAGCAAAAAACCCAAGGGCTGGGTCTGAATTAGTGTGTGATGTTATATCCGAACGGGTACGTGACAGACTGCTCACACGTACGACCGATGTGGTGTACGACCTGAAGAAAGATTATGGATTAGAAATTAGCTACCGGGTCGCATGGTTGGGCATTGAGAAAGCGCGTGGCAAAATATTTCGTGCACATTCCATTTCATTCGATCAGTTGCGGTGGTATAGTAATGCCGTTATGGTCAACAATCCAGGCAACTACATAAACATTGACTATGATGAACAAAATCACCGATTTGAACGGTTTTTCATATCATTCAAAGCATGTATTGATGGGTTCCACCATTGTTGCCCTTTATTATTTTTGGATGGTACTTTTTTGAAGGGTAAATTTAAGGGCAATTTGCTAGCTGCCAGTGCGAAAGATGGCAACCAAGGTTCGTTTTTAGTTCTGCACTCGTAATACATTGTTTTTTCGGTTTGTCACAATTTGTATGGGTTTCTGGCATAATAATGTCACGCTTGTATGAGTGTTATATGGGTTAGTTGCATAATTTTCTCATGTTCATCAGGCTTGCCAACTAACAGCTTTGTACACAAGTTTATTTCCATTGGCAATAACAATTGTGGATTCTGAAAACACTGTAAACTGGTTCTGGTTCTTGCAACACCTTGCCAACATTGTTAGCAATGACAGGACATTGACATTCTTGTCTGACCGTCACACAGGCCTCATCTACTCAATACCCAAAATATTCCCGTCAGCACACGATGCGTTTTGCTTACAACATTTGCAACAGAATCTGCAGGACAAGATGAGGTACGTCAATAGTTCGTACCGAGCAGGATTGCTAAGTAAATTCCGGGCATGCGCATATGCACCTACTGTAACAAGATTCAATGCCAGCATCGAGACATTCATCAAGTTTGGGAGGAATGCGGCAACATCTTTTCTAAAAGATATACCCCCACAGTATTGGCCAAATGCTTATTTCATGTACGCACACTCTTTTTATACATAAACAGTTACACACAGCACAACTGTTACAACATAACGGTTTCACATTCTAACAAACAACATACGTGCGGGCACGTAACATTTATTTGAACTGTGTTACAGGGGTGTACGTTACAGCGAGATGTGTTCTAATGCTGCTGAGTCATTCAACTCATGGATCCGCGAAGCGCGACATCTTCCCATCACCCAAATGGTTGATAGTATTCGGACAAAAATCATGAACCAAATGTCGAAGCGCAGACGCAAGTCAGCAGCATGGCCTGGAGTTCTATGTCCCAAGATGGAGGCTCGATTGGTGAAAGCATATAACAAAGGAAGGGCATGGATTGTAAGCCAATCAAATGATAATGTGTACGAGGTCCATTCGTATCCATCAGTGCTGGTTGATGTTGACAGGCGTACGTGCTCGTGTTTTCAGTGGCAAATTAATCAGTTACCATGTGCACACGCAATGGTTGCAATACGTAACAGTGGTAGAGATTTATATGATTTGGTTGAGCCATTTTATCATGCAGCAACATACCGACTGTCATACGCTTCAAGCATAACCCTTATTCCTACTGTTGAAAAACCATCATTCCAGCTGGACGACTTTGTCATACACCCACCTGTTGTGAAACGACCGCCAAGGAGGCCAAAGAAAAAACATATGCTTTCTAGGGGGGAAGAAGTGCAGTTAATTCGTTGCGGACGTTGTCAACGCATGGGGAACCACAACAGGAAGACATGCAATGAACCAATTTAGCATACCGAACATTGACGCATCTTTCAAGTTTTGGAAGTTATAAACATTTATCGTAGTCTAAACTTTTTCACCATGAATAATGTTGTGCCACCTCCACAACACCTACTACATCGTTATGTGTTTGTTTTCCCGTTTACATGTTTGATTTTTATGAACATTTGCAAATAAAGGTATGTCACACGTACCTACCTTTCCTATACTTTACGAACATTTTTCAACTACTGTGTGCATCACACAGCCTTCTTCTCCTGTCACTCGCAATAATGCCTTGTTCTACATTACAATCATTTCTCAATCATCACATACCATTTTTACATCCAAATGCTTATTTCAGATCCCTTTAATCCAAATCCTTATTACAGGTCATTTCATTTCATTGTTGTGCGTTTTTTTATGTTTCCTACTTTATTTATGAATGCATTTTACCTCGCCACTTTTATGGCACACAAGGAAAATTTTCTTATAGTTCTTCGTCATTGCCAAACATTTTCTTACACAACAATGAGAACCATATCAACATGTGTTTGTTTGTCCGTTTACATGTTCAATTTCCATGCAAATTTTGCAAACAACACTGTGTAACACATATCATACCCGACCATTTACCTATCAACACTAATGTATTGTTCTTCTCAATAATTCTCGTTGTAAATTACAACTAACTCTCATTTTTATACGTAACAATTACATCCAAATGCTGATTGCAGGTCATTCCAATCACAATGCTTACTTTAACTGCATTACACTTCGTGTCTGTGTGTTTTCTAATGCTTCCTATTTCATTTCCAAACGTACTTCGCCTCCCTAATTGTTTGTCATAAAATGCAAACGTCCCTCCAATATTTCGTCATTACGACATGTTTAATTATACAACAATGAAAAGCATATATGCCCATATTATCGGGCCATTAACAAACAATAACAGTCTCCACAACAACTGCACCCAAATCCCGCCAACATAAACACATCCGAAACCCACACTGAAACACACAACAAACATAATATGCATCCAAAAATGTAATTCTTATTAGACTTCCCCAAAGCCCTATTTACCGACACACAACAGCCACAAATTAACCCAAAATAACTAAGCATGCCAACTGCGTATCAACGTCATAAATAACACTAAACTATAAGTTGGCACATCTTGTGCACATAACAAAAAACAAAATGCATAATCAAACTTCTAAAACCATAAATAAATTTTTCGATATTAATATTCACTTCCTACTTTCAAAAAGACATTGTTATAGTAGTTTCACATCTTCAATCTTTCAGCCCCATGATTGGATCATTGATGAACCCCTTAACCATATTTGCTTGTAAAACACAGCCATTGTTACCTTGCAGAGAACGGCCTGCATCTGCATGGTACACGTACTGCCTCATAATAGCACAAACAATGACTGCACCATCTAGCCTGTGCAGGGGGTGGGTGGAGGGGGAAAGCAAATAATATAATGTAAGTGTGACAACCATCAATCTTCCCAAAGAAAAATTAAAAAATCAATCTATCTGGTTGTTGTAACAAATTTAAATATACGTACAAGTCCGCTTTCTGTTGGGGGCAGTTTGCAACAACCTTCAAAGGGTGGTTGAAAGTTTCCAAAATGCTCATCTCGTCCATCCCGTTCTTACGTAATGATCCCTTCATGACAATTGACACACGCTCTTTCTGTCACACTACACATTAACCAAACAAATTACATACATAATTATTTTCCTTCATCACTCATTCCCAACCACCAAAATTCACAATTAAATGCAACGTTGACATTACCAAAACAAGTGCTTCATTGTAATGCACATCTGTTCGAGCAGATGAACGTTGTCTCATTGGATTCAAATGTTGCCAACTTCCATCTGTAGACGTCCTCGAACGTCCCATGAGGGAATCCCGTTTTGTTCATTGGGCTCACTACAGTTCAGGACTCAATGTCACGGTTTTTAATTTGATCTCGCAAAGTGCAATACGAGATTGATAAATCACCAAAGAGTTCAAATTCGGCAAATTATTTTGAAAAATTAATTTTTTAGAAAGAAGTGCCAAACATGGACTGCTTTGCCAGATACAGAGTCGCCACCTAAATATTTTATTTTGGAGAATTTAAGAAACCCTGACTCGTGCCTAAGGCCACGTGTCCGTCATCACCAAAGTTGCCTCGGCTCGGGAACTTGGGTAAGATTGGGGAAGGTCACTTCGTGAGCACCCTCGCTCGCCCGATCAAAGATCGGCCTTTACTAACCATGATATCTTATTTTCGAAAATACATGTGTTCTTATTCCGGTGTATTAGCCTAGAATTACTATGTGATGCGCGCAACATACAAGTATAGACTAGATTGCCTAAGTTGGAACAAAACATCTCATGTTTGTTTATTTGAAAATGGTTTGATGGTGCTACTCGCAAGTAGGCTAAAATGCGGATTTTGCCACCCTCAAGTGGGCTTAGAAAACATGATTTTGCCACTCTCAAGTGGGCTTAAGAAAACATGATTTTACCACTCTCAAGTGGGTTTAAAACTGGCAATCAATGAATTGTTCCAATTCAGGTAATCCAACTTTCATCCACAGGCATTTAGGCAGTTATATCACATAAGCAAATAGCCTCATGGTAAGCATGCTATCATGGTAGTCACTCACACGCATGCAAGGATGCTAAAGCATAAATACTTACCGAGTACTCCAAACCAAAGAAAGAAGCTAATTAGAAATCATGCATGAATCTTAACTATGTTGAAATGCCTAATGCAACACATGCCAAAATGCAACTAAGATAGGCTCGGCTATTCTAAAATGGCATATGAAATGCAACAACTGATACACGTATTCAACTCGGAATTGAAATATAATGCAGTTAGTATGATGCGTCGAGCCCGGTGCATGCAAGACAGATAAATAGATGCAAACATGCGAGCATAAGTATGCTAATTTTAACGTGCCCTAAAACTAACCATCATAAGATGGTAAATAAAAGGGAGAAAGACGTGGGGTTGAAAGACATACATCACACACACGCACACTTATTACAACATTGCCCTCATCGGAGGGTCCGAATAAATAATACACAACCGAATGAATAACGAATTAGTTAATTATTACACAACTCTAATTAATTAACAAATTAACTAAAATGAATAGGCTAGCATGCAAAACATATGAAATGGATTGCCTCAGCTTGGTCTTGAATGACAAGGAATGCATGCATGCTCGAGTCGCCTTGTCAAAAAATCCATCACGATGCCTCGATTTGCCCCTGTTTGCAACTGGTCCCAGAATACTGAACAAAACTCCAAAAGGCTGAAAATCCACCATGCTGTAGGGATACTACCGACCAGTTTTTGCTGTTGGCTTTCGGTTTGCTACAACAGAGAGGAAGAAAGGGGCATGGCAAAGTATTTTCAACATATGTGTGCACGACCACTCTCCCCGTCATTGCATGAGCTCTAGGGAGTGTAGTCCTCGATCCTTGTGCCACCAATCACGCATCTCGATGCATGATGACTAAGGAGTCAGATTGCACGACTCGATGTAAAATGAATACACATATAAACACAACAAGGCCTAAACTCCATCATAGGTAATCCGGAGTGTCGGCGACCTCCATCATAGGCACGTTTCGTCACTTGGAGTACGAAACGTCTCTCGTTTCCCGTGTCTAGACTAAACCCTACTCCAAACACAATGCAATACGCACGGCATGCATGAATGCAACTCTAATGCCTCAGCTTGGTCTTGAATGACAAGGAATGCATGCATGCTCGAGTCGCCTTGTCAAAAAATCCATCACGATGCCTCGATTTGCCCCTGTTTGCAACTGGTCCCAGAATACTGAACAAAACTCCAAAAGGCTGAAAATCCACCATGCTGTAGGGATACTACCGACCAGTTTTTGCTGTTGGCTTTCGGTTTGCTACAACAGAGAGCAAGAAAGGGGCATGGCAAAGTATTTTCAACATATGTGTGCACGACCACTCTCCCCGTCATTGCATGAGCTCTAGGGAGTGCAGTCCTCGATCCTTGTGCCACCAATCACGCATCTCGATGCATGATGGCTAAGGAGTCAGATTGCACGACTCGATGTAAAATGAATACACATATAAACACAACAAGGCCTAAACTCCATCATAGGTAATCCGGAGTGTCGGCGACCGAGAATCGAGGCACGTTTCGTCACTTGGAGTACGAAACGTCTCTCGTTTCCCGTGTCTAGACTAAACCCTACTCCAAACACAATGCAATACGCACGGCATGCATGAATGCAACTCTAACATGCAACCTAAACATAATGCTACTAAATGATGCAAACATGCTACTAGCATACACAATGCTATGAAATAATCAATGGCATACTCAATGCACATGAAAACTATATGGCATACGCAATGCACACATGGAGACTAACAATGAAATGATCAAGGCATACATAATGCAATGGTCAATCATGCAACATATGGACTAAATGGCATATACAATGCAAGATGGACTTAAACCAGGATAGGTGAGCTTTAGCCACACCCAAATCAGTGGCCAAACATGATGAAATTAGGCAACAAAACATATGTAAACATGCACAAATGCAAGGGACCAAATCTAAGGCACCAAATGCAACTCTATCAAATCATGGCAAGGGATGAAATATGGCATACAAACACACATTTTTCAGCTCTGAAATGACATGCAAGATGGTCCCGAATCATGCAAACATGTCGCACAATGCATGTTAGATGGCCTGAATACCGAAACTAGTGAAGCGCATTACACTAGAGGTACATAAAGTAATGCACAAATGGCAAAACTAATCCTAAACAGACCCTAGGAAGGTCCAAGACAGTGGGAAAATGGTCTAAAATGATGGCTCGAAAGGCATGGAAATGAAGCTCATGCAATGGTCCAAAAACGAGGCACACAAGCATGACTCTCAAACGCATTTAAAGAGTGGAAAATATGGGAATATGGCATATATGTAAGCTCTGAAATATGATGCACAATGGCCCCAA